TTATTCCAACTGTCATATTCATTGACATATTCAATGTAATTAGTTTCAGTTTTCCCTAATCATCATACAATGTCTACAACAATCAAGACTATCCTCCACCGATAGCCTAAAGCAGTTATCTCTGAATAGATAATAAATTTATCAACAGATAAAATACCGACATTTTCATAGATGGGTGATTAAATTATCCAACTACACCATTTAATCCCACAATTTTCCAATTTCATGAATTTCACTTCAATTTCACATTTTCCCAAATTAATTATTCGAATTAATTATTCAACATAATTAGGGCATCTTTTCCTTCTCTCAATATTAGCCCAAAGACTCAATTTCATCGATTTAACAACAACAATTTCATTTTTCCATATCTCATACATACATAGGTTTTAACATTCGAAAACCTCCTTTTTATAACCTCAAACCAAACCCTAACTTTCTCAAAATGACTAAGCAACACCATCTAATTAAAATGACCAAAATTTATGTTAAAACTCATAGAATAGAGTAGGTTATCCCTACCTTAATTTTTGGAGCTCAAAGGAGAAGATGGAGAAAACACAAGATGCTCCAAACTAAAGGATTTTTGGATCAAAATGAAGCCCACACCAAGCACAACCTTTCTTACAAAGGACTAGGGTAGAAACACACTAGAACTAGGTGTATTTTTAGAGAGAAGGTATATGTAGAAAGAGATGCAGCTGATCTAGGGCTTGAGGAGAAAGAGATGTAGACAAAGCGAAGAAGAAGCTGCTGCTGCAAACTGATATATTCGAGGCTCGCTCGAACGAAGGAGTGGTCGCTCGAGCGACCAGACACAAAGAAACCTCGCTTGAGCGTAAAAAGCCTCGCTCGAGCCAACAAATCGAAGCTTCAAGTCTGCAACCCAGAAGCATGTCCGAGCGAAGAAAAGCTTGCTTGAGCGAAGAAACCCAAAACATTGACCTTGCTTGCTCGAGCCAAGAAATGCAACCTTCAGGTCCAGAACCAGACGTAGACGCAAGCTCGAGCGCAAGACTTCTCGCTTGAGCCACCAGACACAACAACCAACTCTCGCTCGAGCGAAGGAACCCTGGCTCGAGCGAAGGATAAAAAACACAGAGTTCGCTCGAGCGACAAAAGTCTTGCTCGAGCGAAAACACCAAAAACTAGGCAGCAACCATTTGTTTCAAAACACTCCCAACCTGACACAAACCTGCCCAACACATCCTAAAACTCAAGTACAAAGAATTGAAGGACGGAAACAAGATATATACAACAACCAACACTATGGAATCTAAGTCCGGAATACAACAACCAAATGGGAAAAAACCGAGATTGCTATAGAAGACAGGCAAGTGTTAATATTTTTTTTTGGAAATTGGTGAGAGAGATTAGGATGGAGAGATTATGAAATATTTTTGATATATTTCCATTTGAAATTCATAAATTAAAGGATAATTATTATTTCTAAAATAATGAAATAAATAAATCAGCCAATAGTTTTTTTTTTAAAAAAACTATTTTATAAATTGAAAAATCAATAATTTTAGAAAATTAATTAATTTGTCATATTAAGTGATTTAAAATTTTGATAGACATACATTAAAAAAATAGATAATTATATTATTAAATCATAATTGAAATTTAGATATTGTTATATCTTTTTGATATCCATATCTAAATTTTTATCATCTTTATTTTTGTGTGGTTTCTAAGTTTTCTTTTCAATTTATTTTAGATGGAGTTTGGGTTTTATTTATTTTTTTAAAATTTAATTTATTTGTGATTTCTATTTGTTTTTAATTGTTATTATTTAGGTAAGTTATGATGCGAGTTAAATATGTGATAGCTATGTGAGTTTTATTGGTTTAAAGTATAATAGTGGGAGATATTTTCAAATCAAATTTATTTAGATAAACTTTATAGATTTTTAAAATTTAAAACTGGATATTGAGAGGCAAAAAAAAATATTTTAACTGAATAAATAAAAATCTAATTTATGAATATATAGATAGATATAAATATTTTTCATTAGAAGACTTCTCATTAGAAACTCCCTTTTTCTTATATAATATATAGATAGATATAAATATTTATATTTGTTTTAGATATTTTTTTAATATACAAATTATTTTTTTAGATTTTTTATAAAACTAATTTAACAATCTCATCACTAACCATAGTGTATGAGAGAAATTGAAAAAGATGCTGCGGCAACTATGAGAAAAGTCAAAAAGGTTAGTGGGTTGGGAGAAGTCAATAAATGCTGAGGTTATTTATTTTTTTAAATAAAAAAATTAGAAAATTAGGATTGAGATATTGGAGCTCTTACAAAATTTGTGAATTAAAACCCTCATTTTCCTTATATAATATATATATAGATATATAGATTTGTATAATATAATCCTACAATTAATTAACGATTTAACCCTAGCTAAAAAAATCAATAACCTAAACAACTCAAAAGAACATTCACAAGAAATCAAATTGCTGCTTAGACCAACCCTACCACTAGTGTTCTCTTCTCCAAGTTTTCTTCAGCATCAGGTAGTTTTTATTAAGGGTGTACGCAATACGATTTGGACAGTTTGAGAGTAAAATTACAAATCGAATGACAGATTGACAGATTGACAAATTGCGATTTGAGCGATTTTTAATGGATTGGCAGATTGAATATATAGCGATTCCGGTTTTTCCTTCATTGTTTAACAATCTTCCGGACTTAGGTTCCGTGGAGTTGGTTGTTGTAGATGTCTTGTTGTCATCCGCCAATTTCATATACTTGAGTTTTAGGATGCAATGGGTGTGTTTCGAACAGGTTGGTTGAGCTTTAGTCCCATTCCTTGTTGCTTAGATTTTTGGTGGTCCGCTCGAGCGGGTCCCTTTGCGCTCGAGCGGAGTTTACACACTTTCAGTATTTTGTGCCTCTGCAAAACTACTGTAGGGTTGTTTTTCACGCTCGAGCGGAATTCTTTATGCTCGAGCGGGTCGCGCTCGAGTGGGTACCTTGGCGCTCGAGCGGGTGTTCGATGTCTGTAAAAGTACTGAAGGAGTGTAATCTACACTCGAGCGGGTGTGTTTTGCAGTTGTGTCTTGGCGCTCGAGCGGGAGTTTTTGCTCTCGAGCGGGTTCAGTTTTTGAGCTTGACGCTCGAGCGTCCTATTCTCCGCTCGAGCGGGTCATATGTATATCAGAAGATAGCAGCGGGTTTACACTTCACTTTTTCATCTCTTTCTTTTTCAAAACCCTAGATCTGAGCTCTCTCTCTCTCTCTAGACACCTTCTCTCTAGGGTTTCATCTCCTTTTAGTGTGTTTCTACCCTAAGCTCTTTGTAAAAAAGATAGGGGGTGGTGTGAGCTTTGTTTTAATCTGAAAAATCTTGGATTTGGAGCACTTTGGATTTTGGTCATCTTCTCCTTTGGGCTTCTAATTTCGAGGTAAGGATACCCTACTCCATCTTATGAGCTTTGTCTTTAATTTTGGTCATTTTGATTTGTTGGTGGTATTGGGTAATTTTGAGAAAAGTTGGGGTTGTTTTGTAATTTATAAAAGAAGGGGGTTTTCAAATATTAAAACCCATATGTATGTGAAACATTGAGAAAATGGAATTAATGTTGTATTATAGGTGAAATCAAACCTTAGAGTTGATATTGAGGATTTGGGAAAATGCCCTAACTATAATAATAAATTAATTTGTATAATTAATTTTGGGGAAATGAGAAATTGAGTTGAGAATAATGAAATTGGGGAATTATGGGATTAAATGGTGTAGTTGGATTAATTTATCACTCACCTATGAAAATGTTGATATTATATCTGTTTGATGCTTTTATTTCCTGTTTAGAAATAACTACTTTGGGCTATCAGTGGAGGATAGTTTTGATTATTGTAGACAATGCATGATTAGTAGGCGAACTAAAACTAATCAATTGAATATGCCATCGAATATGGCGGTTGGAATAATACATCAAACTTATGTATTGATTAATCTTGTATATGATATGTGTTTATATACATTGTGTTGTGTGGGAAGAGATATGGGATGTACTCTACGGTTTAAGGGAAGATAGGGGATGGACTCTTAAACCGGATATTGTTTGGGAGAAGATAGGGGATGTACTCCATTGATACAACAAATAAGTGTATCTATTGAAGTATTGATATAGCAAATCTGTATACCATATACGAAGTATGGAAGTGTTTTGTTTGAGATTGATACAACAATTATGTGTATCTATTGTGAAGTAAGAAGTGTTTAATATGAGTTGTTATCCCAATTGAAATGGATGTACTATTAATATGAGATATAATCTCATTTAAATTATCTAGCCAGGTTCTGAGCCACGTTTATGAAATGATTTAATAAGTAAAGGAAAACGGATTGTAACATGGACTTGCTAGTCATGGAATTGTATTGTGAGATACATTGGTTTATATGTGTTAACCATCTGTCAAATGCCATTATTTAGTCATTGTTCATATTTGGTTTAGTAGATCTCTATTGGGCTGTGGCTCACCCTATATGGGACATCATTTTTAGGTACAGATGGTATGTCACCTCTAAGGACGTAGCTTGGGAGGCTAGAGGCTGACATATTTTTTGTGTTATCTTTTGCGTATTACATGTAAATCAAGCCAAGGGCTTACTTTGTAATTGAGTTAGTACTCCCTTTTGTGACCAAGTGTTGACTTGGAAAGTTGTAAGCCCATGGGGCATTTACTTTTGTTGCCAACATGTAATACTTTTGTATCTAACTACTCTGATGAATGGGAAGATGTTTATTTCTTTTATATCTATGCGTGTTAAGATTGTTGGGTTTTATGTATTATTTTGAGGGTGTTACAGAATAATATTCTGACTAATTATCATATATTTGCATAATATATAACACTAATTTGTATAATATTTTTTAAATATATGACACAGTAATTTTATATAAAATGTTTCATATGTATAACTAGTAATTTGTAATAAATTTTATATCTTAAATATCTCTCACACTTTTTTCACATTGATATTTCATTAGAGGTTAAAAAATGTATATGTATTAACTATAGCGGAACGGAGCGGTTCAGTTGACAGATTATAAATTTTAAAGTTTAACGCTGATAATGGTTAGAGTGGTGTGAATTGCTACCGATCAATTCGATTTCACTGAATTGAGTGGCATTTTGCACAACCTTAGTTCTTATTGTTCTTTCAGTTTCTTCATCAGGTGTGGGTTCCATCTTGTCTTGCTTCTTTCCAGTTTTAATTTCTTCATGTGGATCTTCTTCTTCATCGTCGTCTTCCTCTTTTAGAAAATCACAATAAGTGTAGAACCTAGCAACATATGCAAAGATTAACAGATTGGCTATGCTCACCACCACTAATGCAGCATAAAAATGATCTAAACAGCTCTGATTCACAGTGTCTGCAATCCAACTTCCATCTTCAGCTCTCAACTTCATGACCACCACGTCTAATATCATAATAAACCCTATGTTCAGTATTTTTCCCCCTCCGATCACAGCTTCAGTGAGTACGAGTGCATATCTCTTCCTTATTGACTCTGGAACCTGATACTTAAAGAAATCCTCCATACCACCAAGAGCTAATCCATCCATGATTCCCATCAGTACAAACTGTGGAGAGAGCCAAAATACAGATATTGGTGCAATGGCATCGGGATTACCTGACAAGCCATGTTCTGTCAAAGCTTTTAGCCTTTTATTCTCCACCCACCAAGCAACTCTACAACAAGCCAAAGCGGCAACCATTCCTAAACCAACCTTCATTCCAGCTGAGTATCTCCCATTCATTCGCTCTATTCGTTGTTCAAATACTATCCTATACAGAGGTTTCACTGCAGATGTCGCGAATCCTGCCATAAGACGGAGGATTTGAATGGGGAGTTGAATTTGATGCTGCTTTTTTCGTAATATGAAATGAAATGACCTCTTCATTGCATATCCTTGCGCAATGAAAAAAGTATTACTGTTGGATTTGATCACCCCATACAAAAGAAAGGTAGCTGAGATTGGAACCATTCTTAACAGAAGCTTTGTCTCCTCAACCTCATCCACTGTGCAATTAATCCATCCATCGGGAAACCAGCAGAAATTGCATGGCACATTTATTGCAGCATTATTGAGCCTGCGCAAGTGTAAAAGATGTTACAAACTATACAAATTTTACACCAATACCATTTCCATCTTTATTTCAAATATAATGCTATCATAATTTAGTACATTTTGTAAAACGTTATAATATTTTTTCAAAAAAACAGATGCCAACCAAGTTTTGGTTTATAGCTTCTAAATTTTCTATAAAGGTAACATAAAAATGTATACATAAACTTTATAATTATTGTGTACTCACCGATCGAGCGTCGTCCTTTTCTTGGGACCTTGAGGTGTCTCCTGGTTGTGACCTTGACCTTGAGGTGTCTGATCTTCATCCCTATAGTTAAATTCTGTACCTTGCTTAGTAGAGTCAAGATGCCTCTTTACGAATGCAGCCAGAAGGACCCGCAACATGTTTGTGAGGGCACTTGCTCGCAGTTGAGGGGGGGAAAGAAATGCGTATCCACTAAAAAATATAGCGATCCCAATTGCCATTACATATGCAGATATCAAAAACCGATGAGACCAATCAGGGGTAAAAATTGACAATACAAAAATCATTGTGATGCCACCTGCAGCTCCAACTATGTTGCAGGTAATTTGAATAATATTCTTTTGACATTTCCTTTCGTCTCGAATCTTTCTTCGGGGAAATTCAAACTTCCAGAAACCAAATTTGTATTCCTTTGTTTCGAGTGGATCTCTTTTGAATTTTATTTTACCTAAGGTGAGGGCTTTCAAACACATTCCCTGGCCAGCCTTGGCAAGAACAATCAAAGCTAATCCCCAATAGAATGGTGAAGCAGTTAGCTTTGAAGAGCATAATTTCTCCCTTGCTGGACATGACTTTACACCATTGGAAAAGAACCGATCAGGAACTGATATTACTAGCAACCCCAATCCCTGCATCAAACCATCTCCTATTCATTAGTGAGAGACAAATTTGAAAAATATTTTAAATTAATTTGGACCAGCTTTGATGTAAGATAAGGGTGTATGCATCTTGACTTTAATTTTGATGCTAGATTTGAGTGGTTTCCAACTAAAGAATAGAATCATTGTGGGTGGTTTGGCCACCCTAGGTTAGTGGTTAACATAGTCTGAAGAAATGGTCATGGTGTTTGATCAAAGATTTAATTGCATTTTGGATCAAAAAATTAAGAAAGTTAGGGTTAGCATTGTATTGTTTCAAGATTTGAGTTCTTGAGTTAAACTTGATTCAATGGCATATTCAAAGTATTTAACTAAGAAATGGTTATTGTTTACATGCATCACTTATATAAATACACCAATTGAAAAGCCATGAAATATTAAATTTCATTCAATAATGCTCCAATTTTTATTTTTTATTTTTTTTCTGGCTGGATGTGAGAACTTTGGCTTCGCACTTGGATGTAGTACACCAAAGACCATGACTAAATTTGTCTGAGAAAGCAAGTGAAAATGTACAAAGGGCTTCTAGAAAGGCTAAATTATGAGTTGTTATATTCTATCGGTGAGAATCAATTAAGAAGTATAATTCCCTATGAAAAATGCAAGGAAAGATCCAATTCCTGCCTATCCGCCTCAGCAAATGCACAAGTAGCCTAGTTTAGTTTTGGTTGTCAATTCCCAGTCAGAACAGAGTAATTTATCTATATCTTCACTACTACTACTACTAACAAATTAGCAATGCTATGCCACAAATGAAAGGGGTGTGCAGAATTCCAGTGACTTACAATGCTGTAAAGAACACTTGTGATGAGCAACATCCCAGCATGGCCAAGATAAGCATCTATGAGAGCAGCCTCCACTAACCCCATGATACCTGCCGCTCCATCTTTAATGTTTATGATTGCAACAGCATGCTTGAGCTTTAACTTCCAAATGTGAGTCAAGAAGGTCACCAAGTTAGCCAAGAGATATGTGGCCATACTGTTGCCGTAAATCAGACCTGCAATATAGACATTCTGGTTTTTAGCACGAAGATTCAGATCTTATTTTATAATAACATGAAGTGTTAAATATTCAATTCAATGTGATTACGTTGACAATAGGGAATCAGCATAATTTCCCTTTTCTAGGTTGAAACCAACATAGAAAAATAAAGGGAAGTTATTATCAAATGTACTTTTACAGCATAATTTGAGAAACATATAAAATAGGTTTGGACAAGTTACATGGACCTTCCTTGATAATTAGCAAAATTACATTTCAGTAATTTGAGATACTCCACCATCATCAACCATTTTTTCCCGCCACGGTTCACATCGCCACAAGCCTCACCCCCATCACCTGCCTTCCCACCACAATTACACCGCCCGCCAAACCACAGTACCGCCACCACAACAATTATCATCTCCCTTCACTCTGTCAATCCACTTCCGCCACCGCCACCACCACCAAAATACCCAACCACCACCATCATCCAAATCCAACAACAAATCACTACCAAAACTGACCCACCCATCACCACTAAAATCAACCCCTTGGATCGTCATCTGAAGCCCCACCTCCTCTGCCCATCGTTGACTGAAACCCACCATATTCAAACGGTTGAGTTCAGGGACCTACAAGGGTGGCGATGAGGTAGAGAGGAGCTATGGCGGCCGAAGAAAGAAAGAGGGGACTGTGAGTTACGGGTTCGGTCGGGGTTTCGATTGGTTCAGTGTGGATGGATTTGTCGAGGATAAGAATAAGATGGGAATTTCAAATTTGGTGGCTTGCTTGATTTTGTAATTGTCTGAGGAATAGGAATAGCTAGTTCACAACAAAAATAAATAAATAAATAAATAAAGTTAGGAATAGGAATAAGGTGTTCCAACAAAGAATAAGAAGGGTAATTTTGAAATTCAGGTGAAAAATAGGTAACCCCTATCTAGAACTATTTATCACAAGTGGTATAAGCTAGAATTTTTGTTTTCGAAAATTTGAAGAGTTATAAAACAATTTTATTTTATATTTTTT